TAAAATATGCTGTGCATTAATTCATTAACAATGGATTGCATCTCTCTACACAGAGTTCTGAAGCTGTAATGCGGGAGGGACGGGGGGAGTAGTATAGGTAGCTTACAAACACATATTTTTAAAGCAATAATAAAGAGAAACTAATTAAGCAAGTATATTAAGTTGGAAACTGATCTAGAAGAAATCATGTGACAGTTTCTCAAGGGGGAAAGGGCCTTCTCTGGCTAATAGAGATTAATCTAGTTTTAAGACAATTTGTCTACATTCAACACTGCTGAAATCCTGTTCCGGAAGCAGGTACACATGGACTAAAATATAAAAACACTTATTCCCTCAGCTCAAGGACGTCTTACAAAAAGTACTCCATCTATAGATAAGCAAGTCAGGTAAACTCTGAAGCTCTTTCTTTCACTCCCTATGCCTCCCCAAAGGAACATCAGGGATGAGTCTTGCCCATAAACCCGGGTCTGCTCTAGCACTAACGGCAGACTCCACAACACTCCAGGTGCCTACCTGCAAAGGTGCCTCTTTGAGACCTGTGGGGACCATTCTTTCTCCCTTTGCAGGTGTAACCCTAAATAAAAGTCCTTTGAGAAGTTTGCAACTTTCTGAGGTTTTGAAACTGAGGGAATCAACTCTGGTGACTAAAGAACAGAAGTAATCACCATTCTGACAGCTATTCCCACAGTGCTTACAGGAACACATCTTACGAAATAACTTCTTGGCTCCCAAGAAGAAATCGGGCTGGTTTCCTTAATTGGACTTGGTGAGACAGACTGCCTTCCATCGGGGGCTAATGGGCCAGTTGATCACAGAAGATGATTACTCAGAGGAACACACACTACACCAGGGACACACCCAGGGATTACCGTCACACTCACCGGTTATCGAATGCCACAGCAAAGCAGGAAATGGAATAAGCCGCGGACATTAATTGTGATAAAACAGGAAATACAAACTTGAAGGGCCTGACTTTGGTGACAGCCTTCCCTCTGACTTTTAGTGACTGTATTCTACACATTACTATTAGCAGCGGTCAAGCCTCAGAACACTACGTTAGTGGAATAACCAGGGAGAGAGATTTAAGAAATCATCCATATCTTACAATTTAAGAGGTATAATTGGCACCTCCCCTTTTTAATGCCATGTGATGTCGACACACTCCCCAAAGGGTATGTGATCCAATCTTTCTCTTCACCATTCTTCTCACTGAGTTGTAATTTACCATCTGTAAAAGGCAGCGTATGTGTTCACTTTGAAACTATTCTGTCAGAAATGTGAAAATTTTTCCCCAGGATATCCCTGTAATGGATGCAACAAAACAACGGCTAGAGTTTTTTTCAGCACTTACTATATGCTATACAGTTTATTTTACCATTCATTGTGGTAAATGCTTCACCTGCATTATCTCACTGAATCCTCAACATAAACCCTCAAAGTTTAGTAACGGCATGACCCCAGATTTAAAAATAAGCTAGTTGACTAAGCAATGCATAGAAATTGGCCAACATCACACATCTAGTAGGTGATTGGTAAAGGATCCAAACGTAAGCAGCCAGCCCTGGTCTTAACCACCATGTACTACCGTAGCAGCCACAAATGTTTTTAGAATGAGGAATGGCCCAAACACAAACACACAAATTTAGACAACCGTAACAGACAGAAAAGAGAGAGACTATGAATGGATACATGAATACCTTTTCTCTCCAGGCAAAATCCTTAAGAGTAAAACAGTTATTCCTCTGTTGCAGGCAATTAACTACAGGCATCCAATGTAGACACATTCCATTGAGGCCCATGATTTTTAAAAACTAATTCCAACTTTGTTAGGGAGACTCCCAGGTTTTACCTTCTCCCCCATCAAGTGTTGACCAAAGGCCTTTATTGCACGAGCCCTGATTTGTGCAGATAAACAGACACCATCCCTGACCACCTCAAGTGCAAATGTTAATCCTGTCACTGGGCTTTGGAATGAAAATGTTTGTTTGGGTTTTTTTTAAAGAGAGAAAGAATGGTAACTGCATGGAACAAAAAACCAAAACAAAACAACTCTATTCCTTACATCTCACTGCAACAATATGTTACTTTCATTATATTGTATCTTTGGATCTATAAAAAGCAAAAAAACCAACAATTATAATAAAAAGATCTATAATATGAAGTCTGCTTTTATAAGAAAAAATCTTGTAATGTTTTTAGAACATTATAGTCATTATAGTTACCACCAAGGATGATAATTACGTACCTTAACCCACAAAGCTGTTTTTAGATCTTCTGGTGACAATTAAGTCATTATAAGAGGTTGATTTCACTGCACTCATTAATTGCAGGAAGTCCACCACAACTACATTTAATAAGATCAACTTTCTCTTAGATCCTCAGCATTCTCCCTGAATTCCTAAGGTTGCTTCTAGGCGTTTATACTTTTCTTTTTTTGTTGTTATTAGTTCGTCTTAAATGTTTCTTTTCTCCCTGATTCATTAGAACATGATTTTAGGAGATGGAATTTCTACAGATGAGCTGGAACATTACATATTATCTAACATTAAGTTAGTTTTAAAATCAGAAAATAGGAAAAAGGTACCAATATGCATGCTACCTTAATAAGATATTTTTTTAATTTTTATTTTATATTGGAGTAGAGTTGATTGACAATGTTGTGTTAGTTTTAGGTGTACAGGAAAGTGGATTCAATTATACATATACAAGTATCTATTCTTTTTCAAATTCTTTTCCCATTTAGGTTATTACAGAATATTGAGCAGAGTTCCTATGCTATACAGTAGTCAATAAAATACTTTTGCGATATCCATTCTAGGGCTTTTTTTAAAAAAGATGAAGGAGAAACAGAAACACCCTCAGTGATGCAAGAAGAAGTTATCAAACAGAATTTCAAATTGCTAAAATATACAGAGAAAGGTGTTAAATTGATTAAAGTAATAGCTATAAATATCCTCCAAGGGATCACACACTCAGAAATCATGGGGAAGGAGCAAGGCGGACATAGAAGCAGAAAAACTGCCTGGTTTTTTTAAGTGGTAACTACTAAAAAGTAAAAATTTACCTTGTTAAATTATTTTTAAAACCACATTCCCCTGAACTGTCACTGTGGACGGCTGAAGGTGGAAGCTTTCCCAGAACTGAGTATATGTTTAACCCTGGGAATGATGTGGCAATGGCAACCACCCACAACAATCTGGGAAACAATGCAGAGCAAGAGAAAGGGCAGCCACACCCTGCAGAGGTGGGTCCTCAGTTTTTTTTCATCCTATCATAATCTAGCCCCATTAGTTTTAAGTATAATCTGTGCGTTCTTCCAGAGTCCAGGACCTCAGAAATGAATACCCATGCAGCTGCTTCTGGATCTGGTAGAGCCAGTATGATTCATCTGGGCCTGGGTCTGAAATGCTCAGAGTATATATTTTTAAGATTTCGGTACACCATGCACCAAGCTAAAAGTGGAAATGGGAGTAGGGGGCAGTGTTTCTTACATGCTCCAGCATCCTTCTGGGGTGGCAAGAGTGGGGAGACTTCCAAACACTTGGATTGGGATTCCCTGGTGGTCCAGTGATTAAAACTCTGGGCATCCACTGCAGGGCTCGATCCCTGATCAGGGAGCTAAGATCCCACACGCAGGTGTGGTCAGAAACAAACAAACAAACAAACAAACGCTTGCATGTTATTTCTGACCACTTCTAGAGCATACATTCCTACAAATGCTCTGCTATTGCGTTGGCTCAACCACTAGAGTGAAGACTCTGAACATATAAAGGCTACATTATATGCGGAGCTAGGAGCGATGGTTAATCATTGATCAGTCACGGGCAGCAGACAGCAGGTGCTAACACACAGGACACCCACAGCTCCAGATGTGACCTCCAGGCCACACCCCCTCAGCCCTCACTTCCCGCAGCAGCCTCCACTGCAGACACCTTTCCTCTCCGGTCCTCACCGCCTTCTCCCTCTCCCACCTGCACTGCCTGGCAGCCCAAACTCCTCTCTCTTTTTTTCACTCTAGTCAATGTTTTAGTAGTTCCTCCTTTTTTCAATGAAGAGGTTTTATGTTTCCTTATGCTATAAAAGTCCAGTCAATTTCACATTTCACAGATCAAAGGAAATAAATACTCAGGAAGTCAAGTTAAGTTTTGCACAGAGCCTTTGACTGGTTTTTCTCCTTGAGATTCAGGGGCTTCCCCTACAGTAGAAGGCCCAGTTCACTCCAGGTCTAAAACCCAGTAGACTGCCATGTTCCTTAACAGAAAGGCAAGTGCCGCCCTAATAGAATCCTGAATCAAATAACATTCAGGAGCCTGAAAAAATTCATACACATATGTGTATAGTTCTATGTATGTGTGTGAGGATAGATAGGTAAATAGATATAGATATTTATATATGTATTACATATGTATACACACACACGCACTTCCTCCACAAAGAAAGGCCAATCAAAAACATAAAGTCTGGGCTTCCCTGGTGGCACAATGGTTGAGAGTCCGCCTGCCGATGCAGGGGACACGGGTTCGTGCCCCGGTCCGGGAAGATCCCACATGCCACGGAGCGGCTGGGCCCATGAGCCATGGCCGCTGAGCCTGCGCGTCGAGAGCCTGTGCTCCGCAACGGGAGAGGCCACAGCAGTGAGAGGCCCGCGTACCGCAAAAAACAAACAAAAAACATAAAGTCCTCCATTGGCCTCTACCTACTAAGAGGCATAAACAGGGCCTTGGTGATGTAGCCCACCTCCCCACGCAGCACCCCTCCAGGTTCACCTCTCTCCACCCGACCTCAGGACAGACCCAGCACAATCAAGTTCTTTCAGTTGTGAGCAAATGCCTTCTCTCTCTTGCCTCCCAGTTTTCTCCCAAATCTTTCCTTTCCCCTCCTCTAGGCCTAGCCACCCCCTGCTCATCCTGCAGGTCTGGATTTGGATGTGGCTTCCTCCAGGAAGCCCTCCGTGCTGTGCCTGTTCAAACTCTGAGTGAATTACTCTTCTGCTGACATACCTGTGGGCTTGTCTGCGTTCTCCACTCAATGGAAGGTGCCAAAGACAGGGACCCTGTCCACTTCACCGCACCTAATAGAGACATTACACATGATAGGTGCTCTATATATGTTTGATGACTTATATTTAAAGTTAGTTAATCTCTATTTGCACCAATTTTCCTGCTAACAAATGGCTTCCACCTCTGGGCTGTAATAGACATTATTTGTACAAAATTTCACGGCATTCAGAATATTTCAGATAAATCCTACAATATATGAAGGTAAATCAAAAGCAACAAGGTATTCTTCCAAGGTTTTGGGGCCGTCCATAACAAATCTTTTCTACCTAAATGGTTAAACTATGGAATAATACAGAACCCAGGTAGAGAGGCATTTACTCTCATTTCCAAAAAAAAAAAATTGTGAGAAAACTTGGAGTAGAGAGAGAGTTTCTGTGGAATAACTCTTCTCTATAGAAGCCACTAGTACATAGTCATTCAACGAATGAATAGCTCTGTTAGTATTAAAGTAAGAGACTGCATAATCTATGGTGTTCTGTTACCCAGTTCAGGGAGGGCGGAACATGTCCCAATTCATCAAACATCTACTTTACCAAACAGTCATCTATTCCAAAAGATGGTTACAGATTTTAAAGAATTCAAATAAAATGCATTCCATGCTTAAGTCATACTGAGACTGTGCTGTGCTCATTCAGGAAGATGCTTTAACACAATGTGATCTCTCGGGACATCGATGCCTCGTCTCCCATTTGCTCTTGGATCTACTCAGACGTTTGCACCCATCAACCCACCAAAACTAACTTTCAAGTTCAATGTCCTCCACACACTAAATACACTGGTCAATTCTCAGTCTCCCCTTATTAGCCCACCAGCAGTACTGGGCCCAGTTGACCACTCTTTCCTTCTGGGAGCACTTTCCTCACTGGCCCCAGGACACCACCCTTCCCGAGATTTCCTGTACTTACAGGCAGCAACTTGCTGGTTGCTCAACCCCCAGACTTGTAAGGGTGGGAACGCCCTAGATTTCTTCTCTCCCCTTGTCTCCCTCTGCCCACTCATTGGGTGATATCATCCAGTCTCAGAGATTTAATACCATGTATATAATCCAATGGCCACCAAATTTCTATCTAGTCCCAAACTCCCCCATTAATGCAGACACACATCTCTACTTCACTTGGCGAACGAACAAGCATGGATGTTTCGAACCCAAATATCCCCTTCACCGTCTCCTCTCACGCTCTTCCAGCTCTCTGCGACAGCAACTCTAACCTTCCAATTCCCCAGACCAAAGACGCCATGGGTATCCTCTCACACCACCACCCGATCTCTTGGTAAATCCCACTGGCCTTTCGGACCACCCAGAACATGGCCACCTCTCATGATGGTGACCACAGCTGCCACCTGGTCCAAGCGTCATCTTTCAGATGGTTATTGCCCCAGTATCTTAACTGGCTTCCTGATTCCACCCTTGCTAACTTCTGTCTACTCAACACAGCAACCACTGTAATCTTAAAATGTAAATCTGATATCACTCCTTGGCTCCAAAGCCTCCAATGGCTCCCCAAACATCAAATTAAAGCCAAAACATACATAATGGTCTCTAAGGCTCTGCACCATCTGGCCTCAACCCGTCCCGTGATCTCATCTCCTGCCGCTCTGCCCTTGGCTCCCGCTGTCCCAGCCACGCTGGCCTCCCTGCTCCCTCCATGTGTCAGGCCCTGGCCTGTCTCAGGGCATTTGCACTTACTGTTCCCTCTGCCAAGAACATCCCTCTGCCTGTTAGCCGAGTGCTCACTGAGAGCTTTCCCCCAGCCATCCCGGTTAACACTGCATCCCCTCTTCCCTCCTGCATCCACCTATGGCCCTTGCCTGCAACATGTACTACATCCACGTGCTACGAGTTTTACTTACTGTGTGTCAACCCCCACTAGAATGTCAGATCCGGGAAGACAGGAACTACTTACCGTCTCTTCTATTCACTGCTGTATCCTCAGCTCTCTCGGAACAGCTCCTGGTACAGGGTCAGCACTCAATAAGCACTGCTGAATGAATCCATGGTGACTAGCTACTTTCATCAGACTGAGTGGAAGTGTCAGTTAAGAGGGCACTCCAGTTAATAGACGACAAGTTAAATGCGAAGAGTTAGTTCTATTTCTCCTAATGTGACCTGGTGCACTACTTCATCCAAAACTTCGTTTCCCGAATTAACGTGAAAGACAAGCGCATCATTTCAGAATACCAGGTTGTGCAGTTAGGATTACTTTAAAAATCATAGACGAGAAATGAGCAAAAAAACCTTTTTCTTTTGGCCGCGCCGTGCGGCATGCAAGATTTTAGTTCCCCAACCAGGGACTGAACCCATGCCGCCCTGCAGTGGAAGCGAGGAGTCTTAACCACTGGACCGCCAGGGAAGTCCCAGAAATGAGCAAATTCTAATGGAAACGTCAGCTGTGCAGAATACCGGGGAGATGTTATAAGAAAAATCACCTATTGTTTTATAGCTGATCCTATTAAGAATCTGTTCACTTTACCTGAAACTCACAGAAGAAATCACAGCTACTTCTAAGGGTTGGATGGGCCAATGACGAACAAGAAAACGGGCCCCATCATGCCTGTGAAGGACGGACCTGCCACCCCCTTGAGCGCCGCGCCCTGGAAGAGCCCTCCACACCCTTGGCTCTCTCCCAGCCGGTACGACCTAAAGGAGGCACTAATCTCAGGGAGACGGCTCCCCATCCCACAAAGCGACTGCAGCCAGAACTGCTGATCTCACTAAGCCCTGGGCAGGACTGCAGGGACTACCCACGACGCATTAGCAGCACTGATCTTATATCTCCATTGACAAGCTTCCTGTAGGACCCTAACCTTCTCTACTTCACTGTGTGTTCTATGTCTTAGACTGCGATGTACAGAAATAATTCAGGGTGCCATATTCATGTATATTGCATCATTTCACACTCAAGTTGGAGGACGTGAATTTCAGCTCACACTCTCCTATTTTAACACATTCCACGTGCCAAGCTGCATGATATTTACACCTCATTAAAACATGAGACAATCAGAGTGCTGCAGTGAGAGAGGGCACTGAGTTTTCTGAAGTATTTGAATCATGCAAGATGCTGGTACCATGCAAGATGTCTCAAAGCAGCTCCTCCTGGAATTCAGCACACACTGCCATGCTAAGGCACTGAGGCACAAACCGTGGACATGAAAGTCCCCTTCCCTCCACGCTCACATGCAGACCCTGCCAAGGCTTCTGGAACACTCATGGGTGGTGCCTCTATCGGCAGCCCTTCTCCCGTCTCTGTCTCTCTCAAGGCCCCTGCTCTTACTCAGGCCTCTTCAACTATCTCCAAGAGACCACCCTGAATGCCTCCCAGAGCTGGTCTCTCAGATTCCAATCACTCCTGCCTGCAAAGCCCTCCCTACATCCCACAGTTCTGCCAGCAACACACCTCCTTTCAAACCCCTCTATCATTTCTCCATTATCCACTGAATTAAGTACAAACTTCCTAAAAGTCAGTGGCTCTCAAACTGTGGTCCACAGAACACCTGAAAAAGATTCACGGGCTGCCTGCTAAGCACCCAGCACCCAGGGCCTCACCTACACCCACACCTACGACAGCAGGCTCTGGGGAGTTAGGGCCGGGAATCATTTGATCCTTATTAGTGAGTGACTCTCAGGCCCACTAAAATCTAAGTGCCAACACCCTACGTCTTGCATTCAAGCAACGTGGCTGGACACATCTGGCTATGCTGGCTTACCACATATCAAACCAACCCGTAAGAGTAAAAAGGAAATTTTTTTAAAGATGGGCTAGCAGTTTGAAGGTAAGAGAGAGCTGCTAAGGCTGCCAAACTTAAGGGTTCAAGATCCTGGAGAGAAAGACAGGAAAGTAAGTCCCACATTCTCTCCCATGTGGCCCTTTATGGCCTTTCTGAGTCCCCAGCAGCCTAAGGATGAGGCCAAGCAGAAAGGAGCCCTGGCTCTGAACTCAGTAGAAAAATCATCTGATTACCCTAGAATGTACAAACAGGAGAACAAAAGCCATCTCTAATCCCATCATCCATAGACAACCAGTGCTGGCATTGTAATGTATTTCCTTCTAGTCTTTGTACGTATATATTCATACAACCTCGGAAATTTAACTTAGGCAAAACTAGAACCAGAAAACATTAAGTGACCATCCAAAAGTGCATAAATCCCTATTAAGTATATTTTTAAATCCCTCTTCTTCCCTTTCCAGTCACCCTATCAAATATTAAAAAGAGAAAAAAATATAGATACAGTATTCCCTACAATTATTTTTATCGAGTGGTAAAATTACAGGTTAAATTTAAGTAGAGCAATTCAGACCATACTGTTAGTAACGTCAGTGTTCTCCTCTTGCCCTCAAAACTTATTATCAGGACGAACTTACGTCGGTGCCTACCCAAGAGCAGCCAGGTAAGGTCAGGCTCTAGAATCAAACGTTTCTTGACTCAAACCCCATCTACTGTGTACACAACCTCAGAAGGATCGGGGCCTGGCCTCCTTCACTCTGAAATGAAGACGACAAAAGTGCTGCCGTCAACCAAGTATTGTGAGGACCAAACGAGATAATTCACGAAAAGCCATAGCAAGGGCCGAGCACGTAAGAAATCTCAGTAAATGTCACCTGCTAGCTGCTGCCTCCCCGACCAAGGAGCGTGCTTCTTCAGGCTTTGTTTACATCTCATCTTTTTGCTCCTAGCATGAAGCAGAGGAACTGGTACTAAAAAGGAAATCTATATATTTTTTCATTTTAAGTTTCTAAAGGGAATAAATGGTTGAAAGAAACACCTCATGAAGGTTTAACAAAATATCATCCATAATGAATATACACGTGTATATATATATGTAAATATAGTCTGTATACTTATATGTGTGTATGTGAATACAGATACGTATATGGACTGTTCACTTACAAAACAAGCTGAAAAGTTAAAACATTCTGAAATTTTTTTTAAATTTATTTCTTTATTTCTTTATTTTGGCTGCGTTGGGTCTTCATTGCTGAGTGTGGGCTTTCTCTAGTTGCAATGAGCAGGGGCTACTCTTCACTGCGATGGCTTCTCTTGTTGTGGAGCATGGGCTCTAGGCACACAGGCTTCAGTAGGTGTCGCTCGTGGGCTTCAGTAGTTGTGGCATGTGGGCTCAGTAGTTGTGGCATGTGGGCTCAGTAGTTGTGGCTCGCGGGCTTAGTTGCTCTGCGGCATGTGGGATCTTCCAGGGCCAGGGTTCGAACCCGCGTCTCCTGCATTGGCAGGCGGATTCTTAACCACTGCGCCACCAGGGAAGCCCAACGTTCTGAGATTTTTATTGAGAAGTTTTGCAGATTGTATCCTGGGGTCAGTACCACTCCAGTTTAAGTATTAAAACTAGTGCTTTTCCTGTTTGTTTTGTCTCCCAATTCAGAGCACCAGGAAGATAGAAAGACCTTGAGTAAACTGATAACTTACTATTTCAAACAGGACCGCACAAGCCAGCACGGAAGTTAGCCAGCACATACCTTATTTCCAAGGTATATGCTTTATTTTATACATAGAATCTTTCCGTACAAACAGAAACAGTTCCTGTCAGGGACCAATACCACACAGCCAGTGAGTGGCAAAGTAAACTCACTCAGAAGAAGCCAAATTCTTGCTTTTACACTGAAGAGTAACTACTCAATGGCCTGCTGGGTTCAACGAGGTATTGGTATTTCTGGCTTAACAATACCTGCAGGGAGTTACATGTTACAATTTTAGAAATAAGGTAATTAGTTAAGTAGCAAAATGAAATTATAGGTTAAGAAACAGATTTACTAAATAATTAATGAGTTGCTCTATGGCTACTTGTATTCACATATCATATGTCTGTTTCTCACTAAGACAAACCTGACCACAGCTGTCCACAGTGGGAATCAACACACTAGCCCACAGATATGTTATGCTTGGCCTATACCAAAGAAAAACTGACAGATTTCTAAAAACTGGAAAATGTCACAGAGAAATACAGACACCCAACTTCATTTGAAAACAACAAGAACAACAACAAAGAAGCATAAGATTCTAGAAACTGTAGGTCCATAGTCAGCAGAAACTGAGCAGTCCATGTATCTTTGGGTTCGCCACAGTCTCCACCACTCCCTACTGTCTCAGTTGCCCCTACATTTCAATTTCTGACATTGCCTCCTGGCCCCCGTAGGCGTCTAAGTTTGCAACTCTTGTTGCAAGTCTCAGGGCCATTCCCAGTCCTCAATGTTCACTTCTGTAGCAGTTTTTTTTATTTTGGACTCTCTTGGCCTTTGTTGACTGTGCAGAGGGCGGGGTGGGGTGGAGGGGGAACGGGGAACTCTCAAACTCCATCTGCACTGATCCGATGTCCATGAACTAAAACCAAAGAGCTTTTCACCTTGGACTGCAGCACATTTGCCACTCTGAGTATTTCTCTTTTCTGCTTTTTCTTCCTCTCATTTCCCTTTGCATCTGCATGCATTGTTCAAAGCCAAAACCTGAGTGCTACGTGAAAGAGAACTATCCACTCTCCCTCAAAAGGGAACGGGGGACGGGGTGTCACATTCTACTCTTCTATGAGAGCGAGGCCTGGAAATTCCACACAAAACCTAAACGGGTCCCTTCAGGCGGTGAAACATTCCCCTCATTCTGTTTTCCTGTGGCTGAACACTCACAGAGATACACAACAAAAGGGTCCCCTGGGCCTGGAGTGGCACAGCTGTCTAGGAGCCCATGGGGACAAAGGCTTTTAACTCTTCCCTGCCCACTCTGTGGGAAGGACACTTACAGACCTCAGTGCATTAATGCACCTACTGAAATATGCAACAACTGTCCCTACTAGAAAAGTTCTCCTTCCTACCCAATCACTATGTATTAGCTGAAAACCAACTGCAGACAAGAATTATGGGGGATGGTCTGACATACATTATTTATTTTTCTAGGCTCCACACGAGTGGTATAGACTGGTGGTCCTCAAATTTTAGCCAGCACTAGAATCACTGAGGGACCACAGCTTCCTGCATCCCACCCCCAGAGTTCCTGATTCTGTGAGTCTGGGATGGGGCCTGAGAATTTACATGTCTAAGCTCTAATGTTGAAAAAGGAAGGTCCATGGATAAACAACAGGGTCCTACTGTATAGCACAAGGAACTATATTCAATATCCTGCGATAAACCATAATGGAAAAGAATATGAAAAAGAAGATATCAATATATATATAAAGAATATATCAATATATATATATCAATATATATATTATACTGAGTGCCTCTGCTGTACAGCAGAAATT